CTAAGAATTTAATTAAATAAATTGAAATAACAAAGCAAAAGAGTTAAGAATTATAAAAATTTAAATCTAGACTAGAAATGAAATTAAAAAGCATGCATGAAAATTTTAAATTTAAGTTTCCTAAAGAAATGGCTAAAATTAAAAGAATGAAGAAAAATGAACGTTATTGGGGCTTGGCGCCCATTGGGCCAAGCCCACTGGCCAGGCCATGTTCCTTTTCTCTCTCTCAGGCTGGGCTAAGCCCAACCCAGCTCCTTTTCCTTCTCTTCTCCGTTTTTTTTTTTCTTCTAGGCTGGGCTTTTCTCTCTTCTTTTTCGGGTTGGGCTAGACCTAAAAGTTCTATTTCTCCTCTGGCCTTTTTTTTCTTCTTCTTTTTGTTTATTTCTTTCCTTCTTCTCCTTCCTAGCAAGAATGCCCTCACTTTTTACTCTCCCATTTCTTCTTTCTTCTCCCTTGCCTAGAAACTTCCCAATAGAGACCCAAACGTCAAATTAAAAAGACAAACCAAAATTTCTTATCGTCCCCATTATTATCAATCCGTGGAAGGTTGAGCAGTAGGGGCTCACCATGGCAGTGACCTTGTAACTGCCATTTCCCTTCTCCTAACATTTGAAACCTAACATACTAAAACTGGATATAAAAAGGATGAACAATAAACAAATAAACTTAAATTACCTTAATGAGATTGAAAAAATTGGAAAGGACTAAGAAAATTGGACTTTGGGTATGCTGTGGTTATTGTTTTTCTACAGGTGATTGAAGGCTGTTGAGATTGGAACTGTTCATAGTTTCGTGACCCAAAACACCAATGGGTTGTTTTCTTGGAACTGGAATGGAAAGGACCAATGGATTCAAGTTTTCAAACTTAAAAGAACAAAACCCAGATTTTTCTTCCTAACCCCAAAAAATCTTCACCAAAATTTCACCAGAAACTCTCCCACTTTCCTTTATTTTTTCCTTCCTTTTTTCTTTTTCCTTGGACTACTATACTCGGATATCGATTTTGGAACTAAAATCCTGGCTCATAAAAGCCCAAAATATTTGCCTCTTAAACCCAGAGCCTTTTCTTTGTCAAAACCCAGAAAATCCTCTTCCTCCTCCAATTCATCTAAATGCTGCTTAATTGATAGCCAAACCCAAATCATCCTCCACCTTATGATCACCACGAATCAATCAGAACCCTTGTGCTCTAAAATCAAAAAGCACGCTCCTAGTGACTTGGCCTTTTATGAATAGAGCAAAAATTAAAACTAAAAAAGCAGTGTGTTTGTACAGGCGTGGTACAGAGGTAGAAGGTGTGGTGCAACACAATTCTTGACTGGTACAATTGCCAATTAAGGATCGTTTATTGTTTTAGGTGGATTGTCTTCATTGAAGACGATGAGCAATACCAAGGAGGAGGGATTGATTTTGAGTTGTAGGGAACGACAGGTCGTTCGGTCCGTTTTGATCTTCTTGTCATTTACTCCCTAATTTCAGCTTGGTCCCTAGGTGTTTTGATTTCCTGTAATTACCTGATTTTCATTTCAATCATATCCCTTATTGGCTTTCAATTTCAGTCCCAATTTCATTTGATTGCACCCTTTTCATTCAATTTCGTCTCTAATTGACTTTCAATTTCAAATCTGGTTTTTTTCAATTTCAATCCTTATTCTCTTCAATTACACCCCTAATTAATTATTTCATGCAAAAGTTTCATCATCATCTTCTTCTTCTTCTTTTAAAAAAAATTGATTACGTAAACTCTTTTTTTTCTCTTTTTTTTATATAAAAGATAATCCCTAAATTTAAACATAAAACTAATAGTGGTAAAAATAGATCCAAATAAATATGACAATAAAGCAAAATAAAAGTAAAAATAAATAAATAAATGAAACAAAAAATACTAAAAAGTCTAACCCAGATTTCGGGTTATAGCATTTGTCTCAATTATTTAAAATTTATTTCACGTTAATAATTTGTTCAATAACACTTAAAGCCTGTTTGTCTCTTAATATATTTGTTTGGTGTTGTGCTATGTTATGCTTTGATTGTTGTACTGTACTGAAATCATTTAACTGTTTGATAATCTATTGTTGTGTGTTGATTGAATCAAAATTACTACAAGAATTAAGAACATAACTTAAATTAAATATTTTATTTAAAAAATTAAATTGAGTTTTTTAAAAATGAATAATTTTTGTAGAAAACTGAAAAATATCATAAACAACATCAGGGGAAAAAAAAACAAGAATAAATCATTACATGGTTTTTTAAAAAAGTAAATAGAAATACTAAATAATTTAATTAAGAAATGTAATTGTTGTGCGTGTGTGTTAGGGAAAGAAAGAAACAAGAATAAAAAAATTAAATAGTTTTTTAAAAAGTAAATAGAACTACTAAATAATTTAATAAAAACATAATAGTAATATATATATATACACACACATACTATGTTATAAGTATTTTTATAATTTTAAAATATTTAAAGTTATTTTTATCTTTTAAATAAAATAAGCAATCTTCAATCTCAAAAAAAAAAAAAAAAAAAAAAAAAAATCAGTTGTCATAAACATCCAAAAAGTTAAACAGGATTTATTAAATTATTACCAAACACTTTTTTAGAACCTTTAGCAGTAAAACTAGAAAAGTAAAGAGCCAAACAGGTTCTTAATGTATGTAAAATTGGCTCAATTAGGATCAAATAGTTAAATGTCATTTAAGCGTGACGTGAGAACCAATAATTTCTACATATAATGAAAATTTAACCCACATATAAGATAAATGACATCACGTTGCTTGAATATGAATGAAAAAAGAAAAAAAATTCTCACATGAGCCTTAAATTGGATGACGTTTGAAGAATTTTCTCTTTTACCTGTATTTGAGCTGTATAGCTTAAATCACGTGACATCATTCATTTCGTTCATGTCAAACCCAATAGCGTTAATTGACATATGAATACTTTTAAATAATAAAAATCACACAAAGTCAAAATGATAAATTTGGCTAAATTAGACCAAATAGTTAAATGTCATTTAATTGTTACTTTAATTGAATATCATCCGAACATATAATTTTTGCATATATTGAAAATTGAATCCACATACACTATAAATGATACATCACATGAACATAATCGAAAAACACAAAGTCGATTATCACCTAAGCTTTAAATTGTATGAAATTTGAAGAATATTTTCAATTTTATGAATATTTTAGTCTTACGACTCAAATCATGTAATATCATTCATTTAGTACATGTCATATCCAATTAGCAGAGCAATTGGATGACAATAATGTGTTTGTTAACTAATCTATGAATAATTTTAACTAATAGAAATACAACACAATCAAAATGATAGGTTAAGTTCATAAAATTAACTAACTAAATTGCCTAGTCTCTTCAAGTTTGAGTTTTTATATAATCGCTCAGCTGCAGGCAAATGGTTAAATGTTATTCATTTGTTCTGTTAATTGGATATGACATGGATAAATAATTTTTACATAGAATGAAAATTAAAATCACATATCAAATGAATGATATCATGTGACCCGTAGATGATTAAAATAACAATAATAATAAAATCTCACCTGAGCCTTGAATCGTATGATATTGGAAGAATCTTTACTTTTAGGTATTTAAACAATACAACTCAAGTCTCGTGACATCATTCGTTTGATTTATGTCATACCCAATTAACAGTCCATGTCTTACCCAATTAATAGAATAATTAGATGACAAAAATGTTAATTAACATGTAAATACTTATAGATAATAGAGATAACACAATCACTACCAAAATAATAGATTAATCTCATAATAAATTAATCAAATTGCCTACTTTTTCCTAGCTTTCGTACAGTGCTTTGAGATGCTACGCAAATGGCAGCCATATTATCAAACTAATCCTTAATAAATTGGAAGACGGTACTTAATGGAAGGTTCATTTGATGCTGCAAACCCCCTTCAGATCAATTCAATTAGCTATCGAATAGAAAATAATTGCAAAAGTTAACACACTAGTAGAGATGGCAATATATATGCTATGAAATATGCCTCTATCCCAAACAATAAATACTTATTAAAAAATATTTAATGAATAATAAATATTTAATAAAAATATTTAATGGACATTGAAGTAGGTAAAAATAAAAAAATATTTAACCTCTTATATAACTTTTCAGTATGAATTATCATTTTATACCCTACTAACATCTATGAATTTTTTTGAAAAAAAAAATTAACATAAAAAGATCTAATTGCACAAATTTTATAAAATAGAGACCAAAATATTTTCAATGAAAAGTTTCTTTTTAAAAAAAAAATAAAAAAGAAAGAAACTTCTAAACAAAGGATCAAATTGTTTAAAAAACAATTTTAAAAATCAAAATAACAATTTAAAAAATTACAAGGACACAAATTAAATATTTTAACAAATTATTTTTTGCACCACCAATATTGACAAGTACAAATTTACAGCGTAATTTTTTAATGAAAATAGATTATAGGTAGATCAAGGGATTAAATTAATAAACCAAAATCTGGTCCCCGGTAATTTTAATTTTTTAATGAATATAGACGGTAGATAGAGAAAGAGATTAAATTAATAAACCAGAATACGCTCCATTGCCATCCGACTAGAAACAATAATTAAAGGAACCCCGGAAAATTTAATTAATCCCGAGCCCATTTCAGTTTTCTACATTATTGAAGAAAATGTTTCATTCGTTTATCCAATTACTATGATTAGCGTCAAAATACCTAAAATTCTTTTCAATAGCTTTTTCAACAATAGCTAAAAACAAAAACACAGCATTAAAGGAACCTTCTTTTTTTTCAAGTAAATTAAAACCTGAGAAATCGAACTAGTTAAATCATCTCAAGGCAAACTTTGGAAGCTAAAAGTAGCAAAGCCAAAACCAAATTTCGGTTCATACAAGTAGTAGCTACAAAAGAGCACTATTCATAGATAGTAGAGACCACATAGTGGGGACTCGGAAGCAACCGAACTCATGATTTATGCTACTGGAATCTCAATATTGGTTGCCATCACTGGTGGAGCAACATACTCATCTTCTTCCTTGGGAGAATGGATGGTGACCAGATCAGGCATTGGTGTCATTGGTCCCACCTTACCCTTAGGATCCCAGTCAAGCATGATCTTGACCTTGATGCCAAGCACTCCCTGTTACAAAAGATGGTGGTTGGTTATAAAGAAAACAGAAACCTCACGAGACATTTAAAAATAAAAATAGGCCAATAAAAGAGGTAAAACAATGAGCAAAGATTGTCCACCAGAGGAACATAAGAGAAGCAACCAACCTGTCTCAGGAGAACGTGCCTAACAGCTGAATCAATATACTCTTTAACTGGTTGGCCAGAGGATATCATGTACCCATCCTTGAATTTCATGGATTTGGCACGCTGTGCCCTGAGCTTTCCACTCACAATAACCTGGAAGATTCCACAAGAAAATCAAACTTCCAAAACTTAGCTCATATATGGCAGCAGGACGCAAACAATAGAAAAGCCAAGCAAGGAAACTTTAAAGCATACCTCACATCCTTTTGCCCCACTCTCCATTACAAATCTCAACACCCCGTAGCAAGCCCTGTATACATATCAAAAATTCAACATCAACCACAAATTCAAATAGAAAGAAAATATACAGTCGACTCCATTTAACAGCTTAGTAAGATGAATGCATACTAAGTGGTTGAGATGTGGGTGGGGTATGAATAATCATTTTCACGTTGTTCACAAAAACAAAAGCACATTAAATTCAACATAAACATAAAAGCACCCTAATTTAGTGTCCTATTTGATATTTATCGAAGTCAAGATTCATTGCCGTTCAAAAAAACTGCAGTATCAACAAAAGCATAAAAGTGCTTCACCATCATTCCTCCTCACCCCTAAAAAAAAAAAAAGCAGATGGGAACTACTCAATAGGAACAGTATTCTATCAATGCTATTAAATCATAATATATCCACTAGAAATGATACTGCTGGGTTACAAAACTAAAAATGTCAAGATTTTGCTTCCAAAGCTCCAGGACTATCCAAATATATGCTTATTCATAAAATGTGCATCTACCATTCAGAATCTTGCGCAAGGAATGACAGAGACATTCCTTGGATAGTTAGACAGCAGATGGCATCACAGAATTTTGTCATCCTCCGACACGAGATGGACATTTGAAGATTACCAACTCGCTATAAAGATGACGTCGTCAAGACAAAATTGTTAAAAAAATAATACCACACCACATAAATAGAAAAACATCAGAATTCACAGCATAAATTTTAATATACACAATAAATGACTGTACTGTAGCTACAGAAGTAAAAATTAAAGGATATTGTTTCCTAAGCTGCAGAAGAACTATCCAAATAAGCGCTTATTCAAGAAAAGTGACATATGCCATCCAAAATCTAGTGCAAGGAATGACAGTCGCATTCTTTGGATAGTAAGACCATAGATGGTATTAGCAAATATTGTCATCCTCCGACACCAGATGGACATTTGTAAGTGACCAGCTCGCTATAAAGATGACTTCATCAAGAAAAATTTGTTAATACATAATACTACATCACATAACTAGAAACAGTATAATTCAAAAAATAAATCAAAATACATGCAATATAAATTAAAATACAGTAGCCACAGAAGTAAACCTGCCCAGATGTTGTTTCCTAAGCTGCAGGACTTTCTACAAATAAATACTTATGCATGTGACATCTACCATCCAAAATCTCATGCAAGGAATAACAAACATATTCCTTGAATGATAAGAACTTAGATGGCATAACCAAATATTGTCATCATCCGACACCAGATGGACAGTTGTAAATGCCCAACTCGCTATAAAGATGACTTTGTCTACACACAGTATTTATTACTTAATACTACACTATATGATCAGAAACATAAGAATTCATAACATTAAATAACATGAAAATATCAACAGTCAGTTATCAAGCACGCTGAAATGCGAACAAATGTGAATAAACCAAATAACATATCAGCTAAACTAGTTGTAAAATTGCAAAATACCTGCGAACAGCAAGGCCTCCAAGAAGCTTGTAACGAAGAGACTCAGCTTGAGCAATGGCACATAGACCCCTGTTGTTAACTTTCTCAGCATAGAGCTCCACCCCATTCTCAGGAAATTTGAAACGTTTCTGAACAACAGAAGTCAGCTCCCGGATCCTCCTTCCCTTCTCACCTGAAATTACATAAGAGAATTACAGAAAATTAAAAATATCTACGGTGAAGCATTGACATTCCAATCCAAGGCTTAGGAGAACTAATCTAAGACTAGGATTTCTTTATTGGCTTTCTTATTATTCTCAAAATCTTTTCAGTACAAAGAGAAAATCAATAGAGTTTGCCTCATACACACCACGATTGAAGAATGAAGTTCATAAAACCAGATTGAAACATAGTTTTGGTTTTGAAATATCATCATTAGCTCCTAAGAAAACTTCATCCTCCTCAAGATCAAAACCAATTTAGAGACCAATTAATGCGTAAAAAACCATCTATATGCCCTTATCTTGCATTCAAAGTACGTGCTACTATTTACGAATCTTTTCATCCACTTCTCAGCTTCTAAAGACTAAATAGGCAGCAGTACCATTGATATCAGATGGTAATATACAATAAAGAGTAAAAAACAAAAAGACAAGAAGTTTACCAAGAACATTTTGGGTACGAGTAGCCCTGATGATGATCTCAGTGCGCATCGGTGTAACCCTAACTTCAACACCAGAGTATCCATCCTCGGCCAATTCTCTGGTCAATACCTCGTTCAGTTCTGCATAGAAAACTCCATCCGCAACAAACTAAAAAAAAAAAAAGAAAAAAGAGAGAGATCTGAGAATTAGATGAGAAATAATAATAGAGCTGATTTAACTAATTGCTATGGAATCAAAGAAAGGAGAAGGAAATTGGAAATTACTTTGCGTTTCTTACTGATTTGGGCAGCCATAATTAGGAGAAATTGAAGGTACGGCGCTTTTGAGAGTAAACTGCTGGAGGCGAAGCGCAGAAAACCCTAATGTGTGAGTGGAAAGGCAAATGGCTGCGTCTGTTTGTATATAAAGGGCTAGGGCTTTTCGCTGGTAAATAGTTACATGTATATTTCTACTCTTTATTTTGTTCTTATCAAGTCCCCTCTAATTTTTTTCATCTATTGTCTTAGATTGGTCACTCTATGTTTAGTTTATACTAGCATATATTTCACATGTTACTGCAGGGTGAGTTATACAATATTTTCATATATTTATTTATATAAAATTTAAAATCTAATTATATAAAAGGATCACATAAAAAAAATTCGAATTGAGTTATACAACATTCTTATATATTCATTTATATAAGATACAAAATTTAAAAATAATTATTTAAAAGGATCACATAAAAAAATTAAAAAAAAAGAACAAAAACATATATCTTATATTTTGTCGTAGAGTTAGCTAAATGAAAAGCCTATTCTTTGATATAAACATGCATTTTATTAAAAAAATATATAATAACTGGTAATTAAAATATTAATGTGGTAGTTTTTTAAATTTTAGATAATTAATTTTTGCCATATATTCTTCATCCGTAATTTGTTAATGAGATAGAGAGATCACCCAAAACAAAAAGACAAAAAAACTTTATCTAAAAAAAAATTTCCATAAAAAAAAATTTCACTAAAAGCAATATATATATATATATATATATATAAAAACAATAAGATTGTGAATAGTTTTACTAAAAGCCAAGAAAAAATATTTATTATAGGGAAAAAAATAAAATATGATAAAATTTCAATATTTATTATAGGAAAAAAAATCAAATATAATAAAATTTAAATGACTAAAATAATAAAAGGTTACAAAACATGAACTAAAATAAAAATAAAATTCACTAAAAGCCAAAAGAGGAGCTTAAAAAATACAGGAAGAGAAAAAAATGATTTACTATAGGAATAACAATTAAATATAATAAAATTTTAATGATCAAAATAAAAAAGTTACAAAACGGGGACTAAAAATTATAAGAGGGAAAAAAATGAAATATAATAAAATTTTAATAACCACAATAAAAAAAGTACAAAACAAGAATTAAAATAAACATAAAATTTACTAAAAGCCAAAAGAAGAGCTTAAAAAATGCAATAAGAGGAAAAAAAAACAACTAATTTATTATAGAACTAAAAATCAAATATAATAAAATTTTAATGACTAAAATAAAAAAAATTACAAAATAGTGACTAAAATATAAAATTAATTTAAAGGCAAAAGAGAGGCTTAAAGCGAGCAAGAGAAAGAAAGAAAAAAAAAAAAACCAGGCCACAGCAAGGTAAGGCAAGGCAAGGCCCAAAAAAAAAAAAAAAACAAGTGAATGAATAGTAAAAATGCTACAGTACTTTAGCATTTTGTTTTAGTTTTTTTCTAGAATTAGCCGATCGTCCGCACTCGCACTCGCGTATAATATTTTATTTAATTAATTTTTTAATATTTTTTATAAATTTTCTGATTAATATTAATCAAGAATTGAAAAAATTTTAAAATTTTAATTTTCACAATATTGTATTCCAAAAAATAAAGTTATAATTAATTGACGAGACTTTTACAAAAATTGAAAAATGAAAAAAATCTTATTTAATACTAATATGAAGATTAATTTTTGAAATTATCAATATAACGTTACGGGGTAAGTAGAAAAAAATAATTTCAAAATGTTATAATTTTTTCTTTAATTAATTTATTTAATTATTACTATTTTTTGTATGTTTTTTCACAAAATTTCTAGTTAAAAAATAATTTATTCTTCTTTATTCAGGGATTCTTAAATAAAAACTTATAATAATTTAAACCTAAAATATTAATTAAGAATTCAAAAATAAATACTTTAAAATTATTTTTCTTTATAAGAATGTATCCAAAAAATAAAGTTGCAATTAATGTATAGACTTGCATAAAAATTAACCAATGAAAATATAAAATGTTATTCTTATTTAATGTTGGTGAGAAGATTATTTTTTTCAAGTATATGCATTTGATCTATATATATTTATTTACAAAATAATCAATAAAATTAGCATAAAAATAGTATTTGAATAATTGGTTGGTTCCTTTAAAAAATTACTTTAATTATTTTATTTCAAATAAATTGGTTCTATAATGTTAAAAAAATATTTATAGTAAATAGTTTGTATTATGTTGGAAGATATATAGTTAATTTTTAATAAAATCAATGATTCAAAATTTTTTTATATGTTTTAACCATATCTAGTGAATTGAGATAAATTATTTGAAATATACTTTTAACCTTTTAGAATAAAATAATTATATATTTATATATATGCAACTATCATTTAAAAATTCTAAGAATTCATGATATATATTATATCAATTTATTTTTTAAAAAAGGAAAAACAATCATATTTTAAAATTTTATTCTAAAATTCAAACATAGAGAAAAATAAATTATATAATATTAGGAAATAAAATTTCATATAAAAAATATTAATTGAATGAGAATTTTCATAAAATAATGATAAATTCAAATAATAAAATTTAAATAATAAAAGTAATATAAGCTGAAGTATATGTTAATTTTAATATAAAAAGATATATTATATAATTGTCGAGTTTATATGAAAAAAATTACGATTGATTTTTTGAAATTTTAACACCCAATTAAATAAAAAAAAACATAAATTTATGAAAAAAGAAAAAGAAAAAAGAAAAGGCATGTGTAGTGCATGAGTTAAGGAATTAAAATTTTTATTTTAAAATTTCAGGGACCAAAATAAAATAACTTGAAAATTGTAAAAAAAAAAAAAACTAATGAAATGTGATTTCACCGTTAAAAAATCTCAAATGTTTTAGTTGTATAATAAATTTTAATCTCATTCTTTCCTTTATTTTTTAAGCTAGCAGTATTAAATAATATCGATAGCTTCATAAGATCACAATACATGTTAAATTTATTTTTTGAATAATTATATAAAAAAAACCTTTTGAAAAACCTTTTATCTAAAAATTATATCAATTTATTTTTAAATTTCTCAAATCCAAAATAATATTTTTCATAACAAAATACCTAATAGTTAACCCTATACTCGATACCGAGTGATTTAATATGTGTTTTGATTAAAAAAAATACTATTTTAAGTTTGAAAGATTTAAAAATAAATTGCTAGGTTATTTAGAAAGAAGATTTTTTCAAAGAATTTTGCAATAATTATATCTAACTTAAATAAAATCATTATTTTTCAAAATAAGTATTTCTATTATGGATATCCATATTCTATTTAATTAATGTATGAAGATATGTTATACATACATTCCGTAATTTAATTTAATTACTTGATAAAAAGTACTAAATTTGGATTCATTAAAAACTAATACTACTTATGGCGTTTTTTTCCTATCAATATATTAGGATTTATGAGATCACTAATATTCATAATCATACACATTCTTGGTTTTTTTCATTTGTATGTTATCACTTGAATTAAATTACAAGAGGATAACAAAAATCTTATTTCATCGGTATTAATTAATTGAATTACATCAACTACTATAGTTACTAGGTAGTAAAACTAATTTCTTAATTGATGAAAAAAACGAGTTGATAGAAAGAAATATAAACTCATATAAAAGGAATTTTTTAGTATTCGGGGAGGGGGTGACGTTGATGGGTTTTAAGGTGATGTGACGGGCTCTTTGGGTAAGGGATATAGAATTAAGAAAGGAATTGCCACCTAGCACGAGGAGCCAAAAACTTTGTATTGAGGTTTGTACCTTTTTTAGGGATACTAAAACTTTTTTATTGCTTCTAATTGCATTTGATGTTGTTTCTAAATTATTAAGCTTTTGTTGAGATAAATTATTGTAAATCTCTAATTTGAGATCTTGCAAACACATAGTATAAGATGTAAGCTAAAATAATTAGCAAATACATAATTATCAATTATTGATAATGGGGTCCTTGCTAACCATCAACTTTCCACCACCGACCATTAGGTCTTTAATAGGAAGATAAATTAGCAAGACATTCTATATTCATAGAAATACGACATTTTAATTATGTGAAGATTTTTCATTTGACATAATTATCATTTTGTTGTCTTTTTGTTTTATTGTGTGTTGATATTTCTTAGATATAGATTTAGAATGATTGTTTCGAATTAGTAGAAAGACAAATGTTGCTTAATATTGTTTTTAGTGAAAAAACACCCGTTATGACTTGTAGCCATTACCAAATAAGTTAATAAAGATAGTGTGAATCAAGCTATGGCATTACAAGGCTTCATTTTTTTATGACTTGTTTCTAAATTATTAAGCTTATGTTCAAATAAATTATTGTAAACAATTTCGAAATAAGCCAAAAATTGAAAGATAGGTACTTGACAATTTTCTATGCCTAACCCTCTCTTTTCTTAACTTCCATACTACTCTTGCCAATTGATCTATATATTAAAGAACTGTTGTGTTGACAATTTTGTATATTTTGGTGCAACTGCTTCTATTTTGCAGCTAAACATGGCTCAACGATTCGGAATCTTTGAGCATTTACTCAACATTGCTAATTAATTATAAGGCGATGTGCATCAAGATTTGAAATTTTTTAGAATATTCAAATTCCATTCAACCATTTCCATAATTTGATTCAACCCTTTGCTTAAGTCTTATGATGTAAATACTCATTGTTTTAGAATACGTAATGATTTTTACAACTTGTAAATCTTATTTGCATGTTTTTAGGTGACAAAACCATCGGGTTGTGTCATGTACACATTCTCATTCAAATTTCCATTAAGGAAAGCAATTTTGACATTCATTTGTCATATTTCGTAATCATGATATATAGCAATTGTAAGCATAATAAGTTTCATCATAACCAACCCTTTATTTTTTACGATAGCTTTTCGCCACCAATATAGCTTTGCATATACGTATATTACTATTTATTTCGGTATTTTTCTTA